CTGGTGACGGCCCTCGTGGCGGGGTCTAGGGCTTGCAGGGGGCCTTGGGCACCTCAGCAGGGTCAGGTGTGCAGGGAGGATTTGCAGCTGGGGTCTGTTGGGTGCCAGCACCATCCTGCTCTGCTCAGGACCACTTTGGGAAAGCAAAGTGAGAGATACACTGAGTAGCTGTGAGCAGCAACAGTCACCTGTGCCACAGCCACGGCCAGCCACACCGAGCTGCGTGGCCCTTGGCTGGATGGGACCTGATCCAGAGCATCCCGTGCCCAGGGACGTGAGCCCCTGCCCCAGCACCCAGGGGCTGTGGGGGGATGCCTCGCTGGACACTCGGACACAGCGCAGCTGCCCCAGGCGTGCGCTGTCTTGAAAGTCAGAGGGGACAGGAGGGCACAAGCCCCGAGGAGCAGGATGGCAGCGTGCCCTGGCCAGGCAGGAGAGCTGGTGGGCACTGCACCCAGCCCGAGGGGAAGGGGGTGAGCCACCAGGCTTGGTGGGTGCTGCTGGCCACGGGCCAGCGCTGCTATGTGAGCATTTGGGATCAGGCTGGTGCAGGGTTCACACTTGACAGCCAGTGAAGAGGAACTATTCCTGCTTCATCTTTCCCTGGACTTTCCTTGTTCCTGCAGTTCGGGTATATAAGAGCTGCTGTTGCTGCCAGCTGCTGCTGAGAGGCTGTGGGCAGCTGCACCGCAACATCAAAGGGCTCCAGGTAAGTGACATTAAGGTACCGTGGCCACGGAGCTCCTGTTCCCATTAGACAACCTACAGCAAAGTGTAACTCAGCTTTAAAAGCAAGAATTTTAATGATGTTTTCCTTTGATTTCTGTAGCAGCATTTAATCATTTATGAAAATTAATTTTTAAAGCTAGTAGAGCTCTTGCTTGTCAAATTCCACGTTTATTTTTGTTGTTGTTAAGTTTGTTATAATGACTAAGCTAGCAGAAATGACTAGGATTTTTTTCATGATCTTGGTGACCAGAATTCAGAACAATTTTCAGCTTATCAGCTGCTATTAAATAAGTGTTTATCTGCAAAGCCATACATGCTTTTTGCATGTACAAGATGTTCAGCTCGTTAAGTGCGTGTGGCCGTGGAGGTACCAGCCCAATAGATATCGTTAATAACTGCAGAGATAGTTGTCTACTTTGACACGTAGTCTCTCTAAGAGCTCTTGTAAAAGACCTGACAACCATTTTGGCATCCTTTTACAATGCTATGCACGTCTTATGGAGACCCTCCAACAAATCCCACTGATTTTATTTGACATGATTTTCAATGGAAGCTGCTCAAGCCTCTATCTTTCTCTCCTGTTCAATAATCACAGCTAGAGGAGCTGTGCATCATTACATGCTGATCAAAGGGAAAATGTAAAAGACAGACTACTGAATTAAAGTCTAATTTAATTGTGCCAAGAACTGTCATAGAGGGTTTTTTTAAAGTATCTGGAACAGATAAGTTGTTCAGTCTGACCTAAATAATGTTATTTCTCAGTGCCAAACCTCTGCAATCCACAGTTCATACATTGTTTTTCCCAGAAGAGACAAGCCGGCATGTCCAGCCCGGGACACGGGCTGTGCAGGTGGGTGCTCCCTTAAACTGAGACCTATGGCAGTGCTTCAGCATGTGCCTCTTTTCATTTCTTTGCAAACACCTTTCTGTGCATAAACAAACACTCCACAGTGTTGGTTGTAACCCCAGCTCATGTGGGAACATGAGGTCCTTGAAGGTGCTTTCTTTTGACCAGAGGCAGATCAAATCCAGGCTCTTTTCATAGCCTGAATGGAGCAAGATGAGAAAAACAACCTGCCCGTGGAAAAGTGAGTCTGATTTTGGCCGAGCTTTGACCTTTAATAACACAAGGTGTTCTTCATAATGGGGAGAAGGACACGACTTTGACACACACTGGTTTTTTTATCTGCTGTGGCCCTTAAAGTGTTCTTCTTTCTGGGCCATTTCAGAGCGGTCAGAAGTCATCTGCCTCACTCGGTACCATATCGTCCTGTCTCCTCTCCATCCCTCTTGCTCTCTTTAAAATGACATTTTGTTCTTCCAGGCTTCCCTGCGACATCAGGCACCCAACTCTGCAGGGTGGTAGCCCAGCCGGGCATGGAGACATCAATGACTCTGGCGGAGCATGTCACCATGCTCCAGTTGCTCCCTGATAACCAGAAGCAGTTTGACCTTTCTGAGTGGGAAACGGGTGCTGTGGGTTCAGGCTGGTCCCCGGGGGCTGGGGGATGGTGCCTGGGGACTTCATGTCTAGGGGGAACCTGCCCCACTGCCTCAGAGCAGCACATGTCAAGGATGGAGAGCCAAATTGGTGCCCAGGTTGCCAATTCCTGCACAGCGGGGCTGGTGGTCAGGCTGATGTGGGTCTCTCCGCAGGTGCTGAGACCAGAGATGCTGCTTTTCTGCTGTCTCATCCTCCTTGGGGGCCTCCTGCCCCCCTCCCAGGGCCTCCTCAACCTGGGCGGTGTCCTTGGTCTGAGCCCAGCACAATCCAAAGACGGTGAGCTCAGAAGTTTTCCATGTTTCCCAGGGGAGCGTCATGGTGCAGGTGGCCATGCCCACCTCAGTCCTGGTGTGTGCCATGCCATGTTGGGCTCATGCAGCATCCCTCTCTTCATCAGGAACCTGCCTCCTGGCAGGGTCAGTTCCATGGGAAACCCAACTTTTCACAAGGTTGCTCAGGGGTCCCTGTGAGACCTCATGAGCAGGTCAACCTAACATAGCTGAACCAACCTTTCTTGTCAATGAAACCTTTCAACAGTGGAAGTCTGATTAATAACTGGGACTTCCTTGGTGCAGGTCTGCTTGGTACCGGTCTTCTCGGCAGTGAAGGTCTCATCAGCAAAAAAGGTGGATTGCTTGGCACAGGCCTTCTTGGTGAAGGTGGGCTACTTGGTACTGGCCTCCTTGGCAGAGGAAGTCTGAGTGGAGAAGAAAGTGGAGGTCCCCTTAATGCAGGAAATGAGTCTAGCAGATCTGGGGTCCTTGGTACAGGACTTCTAGGTGAGGAAGGTCTACTTTGCATGGGTGTGCTTGGGAGAGAAGGGCTTATTGGCTATGAAAACCAGAACAGTAATAGAGGTCTGACTGTTGCAGGAGGACAACCTGGCAGCAGTGGTCTGCTCGGTACAGGCATCCTTGGTGGAGAAGGCCTTGGCAATGGTCTCCTTGGCAATGGTCTCCTCAGCAATGGCCTCCTCAGCAATGGCCTCCTTGGCAATAAAAACCTTCTTGGAGAGAAAGGTCTGCTTGGCACAGGTCTGCTTGGAAAAGGAGGTCTCTTAGGCAATGGAAGTCTACTTGGTCTCGATGGTCTTCTGGGTGAAGGAGGACTGCTGGGTGATGGAGTCCATTGCAAGTCAACACGCTTCGCCTGGTAAGTCAGAGCACAAGCACAGAGGTGTAGCTTGCTGCAGGGTAA